GGAGAGGACCTGCGCCATCGAGCCCCAAGCGCCGTAGAGCGCCCAGGGCCTTGCGAGCTCGTGTCACTGTGTCTGAAACCGTAACGGGCTCCTCGGCTGGCTCATCATATGACTTGTCTTGTCGCGTCGAGACCTGCTCGGCCTACGCGATGGTGCTGGTGACGGCGCAAGCCGGCGATTGGGCGGCGGTCCAGCTGGGTCTGGCTTGCCTGCCTTGTCTCGCCCACACATGTAGCACCTCTCGTTACACGCGAAATCGCGCTGGTCCCCGCACTGCCTGCTAGCAGCGCAAGCAAGCCCAGCGAGGATCAATATTGCCAATTACGTGTTTGTCTTTGCGACCACGAGCAGACATCCGCGGGCACGACGACCCGTGATGCGACCCCAGCGTGGCCCTCGCAGCCTCCAGTTGTAGCAGTTGTCTGGCTTCCGCTTGCCTGCGGCGGATCTTGTGGTGCCAGGCGGGAGAAGCCGACCTCGCACTCGGCGTGTCGCGCACCCGGCGGCCGCCACCTGGGCAGCACAGGGCGCGTGGCGGCGGCAGCCGCGACCGCACAGGGGCCTATCGCACGCGCGGGCGCCCAGCTGGGAAAAGGGGGGAAAGCGGCCCTTGACCCCTCGATGGGGGGGGAAGGGAGGAAGAGGAGGAGGAGGAGGAGGAGGAGGAGGAGGCGGAGGAGGAGGAGGAACCCCTTCCAGTCCTTCTCACCGCCAGCGTCGTGACTCGCGCCCCGCGCGCGCGGCGCGCGCGCGGGGCCCGTGGTGCCCTCGCCGCGCGCCAGGCCTCCCCTTCTCCAGGTCGTCCTTCAGCATGGCTTGGCGCCCTCCTCCTCTTCCTCCTCTGGTGGCTCCGCCGCTTGCCCCCTCTGGGTGGCGGCAAGGAGGTAGGCAACTTTGTCCTCCAGCGTCCACGTATTTCGTGGCCTCCTTGCTCGCGCCGCCCGAGATTAATCGTCGCTCTTCGGCTTGGCCCTCACTCCTCTGGTTGGCTCTCCTCGTTTCTCTCTTGGCCGCGGGGTGGCACAAGTTGTGCTTCTGGGCGAAACAAACGAGAGGAGGGGCAGGAGGAGGAGGAGGAGGAGGAGGAGGAGGAGGAGGACGGGGAGGAGGAGGAGGAGGAGGAGGAGGAGGAGGAGGAGGAGGAGGAGGAGGAAGAGAAGGAGGAGGAGGAGGACCAGTGCAAACCCAAGACTCATCAACGATGTTGGAAGAAACCCGCCCCCAAGCTCCCTCTTCGCATGCCCCTACAAATGTTCATTTCTACTGGAGGAAGTGCCCCGTTGGGGACCACCGTTTGAAGACCCTGAAACGCACCAAAACAACATACTCGGGACATCATCGCCACGAATGAAACTGACTGTTGCGTCTAGACGCAGCCTGGGTGCAAGGCGCGCCACCTCTCGCCGCCAACTCGAGGCTGGTGTATATGATGAGCCGTTGACGGCAACACCAAACACAGCATTTTGTTTCTGCCGGTACTTCGCTTCCAAGTTCCTGGAAAAGGCGCGCCTTTGCAAATACGTCGACTTCAGCACCGCCTGATCCCGAGGCTTTGCCTCCTCCCTGCCTCGCTCTGAGGCTGCGCCCTCCCCCTTTCCTCCCCCGCAATGGCTAATTCAAGCTTCGCGCGGCCCGCTTAATTTCGACCGGAAGAAAGGCGTTCTCGACCCGCTAATCAAAAAAGACTGCTGCGTCTTGACAATCCGGAATCGTGCCAGAATACAATTCCCAGGACTTCAACGGCAAATCCGCGTAACTGTTGGGCCCTGGCTATCCTGAGTCGTTCCAAAACACAATTTCTGATATGTGAACAACGGGAATCTGCGACACTCTTGCACATGTTTAAAACGAACGATACTGGAGAAAAACCCGAATCAGGGCTGTAGGGCAAGGGGGCTATAGGGCTATAGGGCTATTGAACTATATGGCTATAGAGCTATGGGGCTACCTATACGACCACCCTTCGGGTGATAAGGAGGTTCGGGGGGGGAGGAACCAACGTCTCACTCGATCGGTCTCACTATCGATCTAACAATCGATCTCACTATCGGTCTCGCTCGATCGATCTCACTCGGTCGATCTCACAATCGATCTCACTCGATCTATTTCGTTCGATCGATCTCACAATCGCTATGACGATCAATATCACAATCGATCTCACTATCGATTTCACAATCGATCTCACATTCGGTCTCATTATCGATCTCGCTATCGATATTACAATCGATCTCACAATCAACGTCATCATCATCAACATAATCGTCATCAGCGTCATCAACATCATCATCATCATCATCATCATCATCATCATCATCATCATCATCATCATCATCATCATCATCATCATTGGGACACCATGATCATCATCATCACCTAATCACCATCATCAACATCATCATCATCATCACCATCATCATCATCGGGACACCATCATCGTCACCATCATCATCGACATCATCATCATCATCATCATCATCATCATCATCATCATCATCGGGACACCACCATCATCATCATCGGGACACCACCATCATCATCATCATCTCATCATCACAAACATCATCGTCATCGGGACACCATCATCATCAGCAACATCATCAACATCATCATCACCATCGGGACACCATCATCATCGTCATCATCATCGCCATCATCATCAAAATCATCATCACCTCATCATCATCCTCATCATTACCATCACCATCGGGACACCATCATCGTCATCATTATCATCAAGATCATGATCGGTACACCATCATCATCACCAGCATTATTAACAGCATCATCATCGACCTCATCATCATCATCATCATCAGCATCATCATCGGGACACCATCATCACCATCTCCATCATCATCTACGTCTCATCATCATCTCATCAGCATCAACACCATCAGGATCATCAACGCCATCATCATGATCATCATGATCATCATGATCATCATCATCACCATCATCATCATCATCATCATCATCATCATCATCATCATCGGGACACCATCATCACCATCATCAGCGATTTCATCATCATCATCATCGGGACACCATCATCATCACCACCATCACCATCACGATCATCATCATCATCATCACAATCATCAATATCATCAACATAATTATCATCACCATCATCATCATCATCATCATCATCATCATCAACGGGACACCATCATCATCACCACCACCACCATCATCATCAACATCATCGACATCATCATTATTAGCATCATCACCATCACCATCACCATCACCATCACCATCACCATCACCATCACCATCTCCATCTCCATCATCATCATCATCATCATCATCATCATCATCATCATCATCATCAGGACACCGACGGGACACCGGCGGAACACCGGCGGGACACTGGCAGTCACCGGCCCCTGGAAAGGAATCACTTGGTCCGGCCGCGCCTCAACCAAAGGCGGGACACCGGCGGGGCACCGCGGGCCACCGGCCCCTGGAAAGAAATCATTTGGTCCGGCCGCGCCTCAGCCGGAGGAGACTTTCTTCTCGCCCGCCCACGCAGCTTCGCCTCGCCCGCACGCACGGCACGCACGAACACGAAATCGAAACCGATTTCCCGGTAGGGGGGCTCTCCGTTCCACTTCGATCTCACCCCCTCACCTCCGATAGAGTTGCAAGGCTATAGGGCTGTTGGGCTATTGGGCTATAGGGCACCCCCGGGCACCCGGGTACCCCTGGGCACCCCCGGGCACCCCCCGGGCACCCGGGCACCCAAGCACCCGGGCATCCCCGGGCACCCGGGCGTGCCGTGAAAATCGGCGGCAAACCTAACCTAACCATATGAATCCGCTAGGACCCCTACAGAGGCAAGCTCTGATTGGGGAATGTGCGCGGCGCGAAGGCGAGAACCACATTTTGAAAGCGACCCGCCCTGAATCCGTGAAGCTTTTGCAGTTATTCGATATGCATGTACGCGGCGCCAAGGCGATAACCACATGTTGAAAACGACCTGTCCTGAACCCGTAAAATAATGTTTGAAGTTGAACGTGCGCGGCGCGAAAGCGAGAGCCACATTTTGAAAACCACCCGCGCTCAATCCATGAAACGGTTGTCACTTATCAAGCTTCAAGGTCGTAAGCTGCGAGAACATCTCACCTGAAACGCCCCGCCCTTTCGACCGGCCTCTGGGGGCGACAGGGAGGAGTCAACCATCATAAAAAGAATGGAGGAGCAGGAGGAGGAGGAGGAGGAGGAGGAGGAGGAGAAGGAGGGGGAGGAGGCGGTGGGAGGGAAGGGGCAGTCGCCAGAGGTCTCTTGAGGCAGAGGCAATGTCAAAATGCATAGAGAAAGCTCGGTCCTCCTCGATTTCCCTTCTCCTCCTCCAGAGGAGACGGCGAACGAGGTGGACAAGAAGGAAAAGAGGGAGAAGGATAAGGAGAAGGAGGAGGAGGAGGAGGAGGAGGAGGAGGGGGAGGAGGAGGATGATGATGAGGATGAGGAGGAGGAGCGCAGGGAGGAGGGAGGAGATGGGGAGGAAGGGAGGGAATGAGGGAGGGGAGATGGCGGAGGCGTTGGCGAAGGGAGGGAGGGAGGGAGGATGAGAGGGGAGGCCTAAGGAGGCCTCTCTAAGAAGCTGCTCTCGATCCTCCAACTCCTGCTCATCCTCCCACACTCGCAGCGAGGGGCGAGACGAGGGGCCACATCGCAACTTCGCGGGGCCCCGTCCGTCCTGTAAACGGCGGCCCTTTTCCTGGTCTCCGGCGTATGCTCGACGCGGATCCAAAACCTCCCCCGCTTTTTTTCAAATACGGGGTCCCCGGATGGGGGACATTTCCTTCGGGCCTATTTGGCACCCTGGGTCGTTCCTTGGCGGTCCTGGGGCCCGGCCAGGGCTCCTGGAGGCCGAAAACAACGAGGAGCCTCCGCGCTGATCTTTGTCCATGCGCTGGAGCTCTGGGGCAGCGGTGCGATGGGACAGACGAGGCCCCCCACGACGCAACATCAGTGGGGACAAAGGAGGCCAAAGCCTCGTCATTCTTCGGCGACTGGATCCCGCCGCCGCGGGGCGATACCAGGAAGCGGTAGGTGGCGAGCTCGCGCCAGTAGTCCGCCTGCGAGGGTGCGCGCGCGCAGGGGTAGAGGAGGCAAAGCTTGCACAAACAACCAGTCTCGAACTTATCCCTGTCCCTGAGATAGGCGAGCAAAAAGCGAGGACACTCTTAGGGATGTGCCCTCAAAAACTGGGGGGATCCTTAAGATCGGCATCGAGCTGAGATGATGACTGGTAGATAAACATAAACTCTCGGAGGTCCGCGCGGATTTCTTGGATCGGCGCTGGGCCCCCCTAGCCACGCCTCTGGCGCCACCTCTGGCGCGCTCCGCGCGCCAGGGAGGGGGGCCCAGCGCCGGTCCAAGAAATCCACGCGGAGCTCTGGGAGTCTGTGTTTAGTCAGGTGCTTCCTGCTCGAGGGCGGTCAGCGTCAGCGTCCGCGTCCGCGTCCTCGCCGCCGCCCCCGCCGCCGGAGGCAGTGCGGCGGGGGCGCCCCGCCAGGTGGAGCCGAGCAGTCACAGGGCTGAGCACGGCTTTCAAACAAGAAAACCCCCTCCCGGCGCGCTCCGCGCGCCAGGGGCGGCGCCAGAGGCGCCGCTGGGTGGCGCCAGCGCCAATCCAAAAGATCCGCGCAAACCTCCGAGAGGAGGAGGAGGAGGAGGATGAGGAGGATGAGGAGGAGGAGGAGGAGGGGAGGGAGGAGGAGGAGGAGGGAGGAGGAGGAGGAGGAGGAGGAGGAGGGAGAGATGTGGAAGAGTAGTGGATGAGAAGAGGTTTTGTTGCAGGCTCGTGCCGTGACGACTTGAGCGCTGGCTTCTGACACCGCGCGGGCCTGTCAGCCTTGGAACGATCGCGGCTCTCCGATGGCGCAGGCCGTTCGATCTCGAGCCGAGGCAGGGCGACTCGAGCCAACGGCACCAACTTGCCGTATGCTGCTCTCTCCTCCTCCTCCTCCTCCTCCTCCTCCTCCTCCTCCTCCTTCTCCTCCTCCTCCTCCTCCTCCACTCCTCTTTCTTGATCCTTCTCTTCCTCCTCCTCCTCTCCTCCTTCTTCCTCCTCCTCCCTCCCTCCTCCTCCCCCTCACGTTCCCCCTCCTCCCCCTCCTCCTCCTCCTCCTCCTCCTCCTCCTCTTCCTCCTCCTCTTCCTCCTCCTCTTCCTCCTCCTTCTCGTCCTCCTCTGCATCCTCCCTCCTCTACGCAACAATCGCGCTGAAGTCCCGAGAATGGTGTCTTGGTATGCTTCAGGATCCTCAAACGGTTGTCTCCGAACGGGGCACTTCTGTCAGTGGGAATGATCTCTTGTAGGGGCCTGAGAGGAGGGAGCTCGGGGGGAGGGTATGTTATTGCAACATCGTTGATGAGTGTTGGTCCTGCTGCTGCTGCTCCTCCTCCTCATCCATATCCTTTTCATCCTCCACCTCCGCCTCCTCCCCCTCCTCCTCTACATGTTCCTCCTCCTCCTTGTCTTCCTGTCCTCCTCCTCCTCCTTCTATTCCTCCTCTTTCTCCTCCTCCTCCTCCTCCTCATCCTCCTCCTCGGCCTCCTCCTCCTCCCTCCTCCTCCCTCCTCCTTCTTTCCTCCTCCCTCTTCCTCCTCCCTCCTTCCTCCTCCTCCCTTCTCCCTCCTCCTCCTCCTCCTCCTCCTCCACCTCCTCCCCTCCCCCTCCGACCTCCTCCTCCTTCTACTCCTCCTCTTTTCTTCTCCTCCTCCTCCTCGTCCTCCTCCCTGCCTCCTCCTGCCTCCTCCTCCCTCCTCCTCCCTCCTCCCTCTCTCCTTCTCCTCCTCCTCCTCCTCTTCTCCTCCTCCCTCCTCCTACTCCTCTCCTCCTCCTCCTCCTCCTCCCTCCTCCCCTCCTCCCCGTCTCCCTCCTCCTCCTCCTCCTCTTCCTCCTCCTCCTCTCCCCTCCTCCTCATCTCCCATCCCTCCTCCCCACCCACTCCCTACTTCCCTCCCCTGCCTTCTCTCCCTCCTCTCCGAAACCTCTGTCCTCTCCGTCCTCCCCGTCCTTCCCGTCCTCTCCCTCCTCCTCCTCCTCCTCCTCCTCCTCCTCCTTCCTCCTCCCTTCTCCCCCCTCCCTCCTTCCTACTCCCTCCTCCCTCCACCCTCCGCCCTCCTCCTCCTCCTCCCCCCTCCCCCTCCCCCCTCCCCCCTCCCTCCTCCCTCTTCCCTCCCTCCTCTTCTTCTTCTTCTTCTTTCTTCTTCTTCCACCTCCTCCTCCTCCTCCTCCTCCTCCGTCTCCTCCTCTACCTCCTCCACCACTACCTCCTCCTCCTCCTCCTCCTCCTCCTCCTCCTCCTTCTCCTCCTCGCCCTCGCCCTCGCCCTCGTCCTCGTCCCCGGCGCCTCTAGGGCTCGGCTCCCACCCACTCCCCCCGCCGACTCCTGCGAGGGGCGGCGCGGAGGCCCCTGGGCAGAAGCGCGCGCGCCTGCTCCAGGCAGCGGTGGTCGATCCCCGCGGCGCGGGCCGCGTCGGTCTGGACCCACTCCCGCAGCTTGCGGCGGGCGGGCACCCGGTCGTCCAGGAAGGTGTTCCGGAAGCCCCAGGCGGCCAGGGCGCCCTGGGGCCCGCCCGTGCAAGGAGGGGGCCGGGAGGAGGGATCGGATCGGCGGCGCGCCTGGGAAGGAAGTGACCAGGGGCAGGAGGAGGAGGAGGAGGAGGAGGAGGAGGAGGAGGAGGGGGTGGAGGAGGAAGAGGTGGAGGAGGAAGAGAAGGAGGAGGAGGAGGAGGAGGAGCAGGAGGGAGTCGTCTAGATCGAGCAAGAGACCAACCACCCACGGAGCAGCGGCAGCAGCGGCGGCGGCAAGCTCCGATGCACATCCGGCCGAGGAGGCCATGCAGCTCACGTGCAGGCCCAACGGGCCACGGCCCCGAAGGGCCGACCAAAACAAAGCGGGCTTTTGTCGGCGGCGAGCGAGGGGGGAAATGAGAAGGAGAAGGCCTTCTCAGAAGGCGACGAGACTTCTCAGAAGGCCGGGTGGCTTCCGAGTCTTCTGAGAAGGCCTTCTCCTTCTCATTTCCCCTCCTCGCCCGCCGCCGATTTTGGTCCTCGCCGAACTCTCCGAGCTGGAGGGGGGCACGCGACTCGAAGAACTCCGCCGACGAAAAAAGGGTGCCACGACTGATTGGCGGAAAGCGCGGCTCTCTATGGCTCTCGCGTAGCAGCGCGGGTGACACGTCACCATTTAGGGGGATCCCCGTGCACGGGTGACACCTGGCCTCACGATTTCTTGAGGCCGTGGAGCGAAGCCTACTGAAAGGAGGAGACAGAGGGACGGGAGGGATGAGGGAAGGAGGGGAGGGAGGAGGGGGAGGAAGGGGAGGAGGATGGAGAACTCAAGGTTTCTGGGCGTTTCTGTCATCTCATGGGCCTCCTGGGCTCCTCCCTCGCAGCCACGGCTGGATGCTGGATCCGCCTCGAAGTTCTGCTCAGAGCGCGCTCCAGGACAGGCCTGGCAGAAGGAGAAGGGGGAGGGAGGAGGGGAGGAGGATGAGGATGAGGAGGAGGAGTAGGAGGAGGAGGACCAGACAGCGAGGGAAGATGGAAGTGAAGCGCGTGGGCATGACGGGGAGGACGCGGACGGAGGGAGGGGGGGAGGAGGGACAACAATGGGAAGGAGGGAGGACGAGGAGCAGGAGGATGACGTGGAAGAGAGAAAGGTGACATAAGGCAAGAGGGGGGAGGAAGCAGGAGGATGGAGATGGAGAAGGGGGAGCATGGAGGTAGGAAGGGAGACAGGATGGATGAGGTACGGAGGGAAGGGGGAGGGAGGGAGAGGAGGACACACAGCAGCAGAAGAGGGAGGGAGGATGAGGTAGGGAGGAGGGAGGAGCGAAGAGCAAGGAAGAGAAAAAGGAGCAGCAAGAGGGAAGAGGGCAGATCGGGAGGAGGAAGATGAGGAGCGGAAGATCAGACCGTTGGAATCTACACGAATATAGAACACATTACTGGCACGGGGGGGTGGAAGCAACGGGGGAAGGAGGATGGAGGAGAGAAGAAGAAAAAAGAGGAGAGAGGAGAGAGAGAGAGAGAGAGAGAGAGAGAGAGAAAAGAGAGAGAGAGGGAGGGAGAACAAACAAAGCAAAAAGAAAGGCGGCCCCCTGTCCGTCCCCAATAACTGTGCTTTGAAGCAACCGTGTCGGCAGTCTGAAACAAACGGAACCCAACATCGCAAGTTGGACGTTTCAAGGTGGGCTTGCGTGCAGCAGCCCAAGGGACAACCAGAGAGACAACCATGGCTGAGAACCGCGCAACTGGTGGAGAAACTTGTTGTAGGGCTTGGCCCCAGCTATTCAAACCAAGTGTCGCCCTCGCGCAGCTTCTCCTTGACAGTACTCGCGACCTCCCAACTTCCCAACCTCCCACCCCCCCCAACACACATGTATATATATATAGAGTTATAGATGTATGTATACATACATGAATACACACATACATACACCCATGCATTCACACGTTCATACATGCATGCGTACGTACACACAGGCATACATACATACACACGCATACATGCACACATACCTACATACATGCATGCATACATGCATGCACATAAACATGCATATATACATGAATACATATATACCATGCATGCATATATACACATATATAGGTCGACTTGCATACACACATGTATACAGACATACACACCTACACACAGGCATGCATGCATACATGCATACATATACACAGACACACATACATACACACCTGTACATATACAGACACACCTGTAAAGACATACATACACACCTGTACATTACATTGTATGCCATTGAATCAAATTACATTCCCGTACATTGCACTACATTATACTACCCTACATGACACTACACTACACTCCATTCCAAATTACACTACATTACACTATAATACACAACATATATAACACCTAAATTGCAAACACCCATACAACCATATACTAATATGTATATTCATGTACACGCACATGCCTATACATATAGGTATATTCACATGGA